ATACCGCCAAAGGCAGAGTTATAGTTGTGTTCACAAAACAGTTAACATAGATCAACCATTATAGTATAACAGGGTTGGACTGGGAAACGCTGTAGACAATTAAAAAGACACACATAATTTGAGTCGGTTAAACTTTGAGTCAGTTAAGCTTTGAGTCAGTTAAACTTTGAGTCAGTTAAACTTTGAGTCAGTTAAACTTTGAGTCAGTTAAACAGTAATGTTGAGTTAGGATAATGTTGCGTTAGAGTAATTTTTTTAGGGTAAATTTGTGTTAGGGTAATGTTGTGTTAGGGTAATGTTGTTTGGGTAATGTTGTGTAACGGTAATGTTATGCTTACATTTTCAGAGAATATATATTATATAAGGTAAACAAACACTGTATTTATTTATTTATTTATTTAGGCATTTTTATATAGCGCTTATCATAAAGCTCTAAGCGCTTTACAATTATTAAAACATGTAAACTAAGTAAATAAAAATGAGACACTAGGATAGTAACTACTATACTATAGAAACAATGAAAATGGCTATAAAACGAGGACACTTTGACACTTTTTTCACTATGACGTATATGGAAGGGGAGCTGGTTCCAGAACGTGGGCCCATGGAAGCAGAAGGAGCGTTCACCGATGGTCTTAGTTTTAGTTCTTGGGATTGAGAGGGTTCTACTGTCAATGGAAGAACGTAGTTGTCTTGTGTGGATGTAAGGAAGCAACAGTTCAGAGAGATAGACAGGAAAGTGAGGGTCAGTGAACGAGTTGAAGCAAAGATTGGCAGACTTGTATTTGATGCGAGAGGATATTGGAAGCCAGTGGAGTTGCTGCATGTGTGGTTGAATGTGGTCATGTTTCTTTGATTTAAAAATGAGTCTGCATGCTGAGTTCTGTGCCTTCTGAAGTTTTTCTATGTGGTGTTGAGGAATGCCTGAGAGAAGAATGTTACAGTAGTCAAATTTTGAAAGAATGAGTGAAGAGACGAGAGTTTTTGTGGCATCAAAGGAGAGGAGGTGTCTAATGGTACTGATTTTTCTAATTTCGTTATATGCTGATCTGCATATATTCGTGACATGTTTGTCCATGGAGAGGGTGTCCGTAAGCGCGACTCCAAGGTTTCTGGCAGAGGGAGAGAGTGTGATGTCAGAGTTACCAATAGATATAGAAGAAGGAGTGAATGGAGGGAGAGGTTTGTTTTGATAGTGGATGAGAAGGATTTCCGTTTTATCATCATTTAGCTTCAGTTTGTTGCAAGTCATCCAACGCTTTACATCGTCCACGCACTCCTGTATGCGAAGGATTATGGCATCAAGTTGATCAGGAAAGCAAGAGTCACTGATTTGAGTGTCATCAGCAAAGGATTGACTGGAAACTGAGTGGTGGCTAATGAGAGATGATAGAGGTTTAGTGTAGAGGATGAAAAGGACCGGCCCA